CAGGAAGCTTTCTTTATCCAGCTAATTTATAAAATACTTCTGACAATGGGCTTTCATGCCCGAGATGTTAATTCAATCCAGTGGCTGGCTGGTCTATTCGCAGTAAAAGTACACTTTCCCGGTGATTGTTTCGTTAAGAAGAAAGAAGATGACAAAAAAAATATTCGTTTGCAATTCTACCAGACAAAAGCAATGATTTCTTAGATAAAGGGAAGTTCTTGTCATTGATTTTCCAACATCACTTGTTTTTATATCCATTTTTATTGTATGTTTTGCACATTTACTCTTTCATTGCATCTCATAATTTGATCGAAAGCATCATTTTTTCAGAGCGTCGAACAGAAAAATGGCTTCCAAAATACAATAAATGCTAACGAAATATATATGAAACGATATTTTCAAATGTATCAATATTCGATCAAAAGGGATAAAAAAAGGCTTGCTCACCTTTTTTAATAATCGAATGTGCATTGTAAAACCCTACGTAATATAAGGATATATTCCTTTCTGGAGGGGATGCTCCAAAAGTACAATCCATGTAAAGTAAGTATTTTTATCACATATTTTCTTAAGCATTTACTGTTTTCTAAAAGTTATCTTTAACTCAAAAGTGATTCCTAGGTATTTTCGATTCATGACGTTTGTAGTACATTAAAACGTTACGTCGGTATAAAAGTCAAAACACAATCCTGGATAACTTTTCCAACTTGCAGTAGTGCTTAAAAACTAAATCAAATACGAATGAAAACTCTCAAATATTTTATCTGCAACGTATTAAAAATTGCTCAGTTAAAAAAAATTTGAAGGAATAAAACATAATTTTTTTAATGGATGAACCTGCTTTTAACTGCGTATCGTTTCAAATCTTAAAATCAGAATGGAAATAATCACCTAATTTCTTTTTCTGCTTTTATTTCTGCACTTACACATCGAAGCAAAGCAACAGCCAAAAAATACATGAACAAGTAAGACGAATAAAGAAACATTAGTTAAACTAATCCCTCACATTTAAGTTTAATTTTGCAGAAGATCTTAATATGCGTAATAAAATACATAATAAGATGTTTTTATTTATTAAAATGGATTTTATATTTGAAAGGAGATATTTTCTGATTTCACCTTTCATGGAAGAAAACTTTCTCAAGCTTCATCAATCTGAAATGTGTGGACGCAAACAATGAAACAGTTTGCAGAAGGTCTATGGAAACTATATTGCAGAAATATGGCAAGCAGTATTGCTGCAAATAAATTTAAAAGAAAACATATAATTTTCTCTTTATTGTTTATTCTGTAACAATGAAAAGTCTTAGTCATGGAAAGTGCTGGTTTTTCAGATTCGTACAGTTTCACTCTAGCTTTAGACTTATAATATTTCAGTATCAACTAGCCATTGCTTACCTTCTTCATTATTCATTCTAGCCATTGTTTTAACTAGCCTTCTTTAGCATGTAATTTTGATATTCATGTCGTAAATTAAAAACCTATTTATATCACGCAGAAAGTGTTCGGAATAAGTGTCATCATTTCCAAGAAAATGTTGTAATAAATGTCTGTGCCTGTATGAGTTAGTCACGGTGACCAAGAAATCCCCTGTCACTGCTTTAAACAAATATTAGATAAATTTAACCAATTAATTATTATTTAAATTAAGTCAAAATCAATTACGACATTTAAACCTGAAGTCCTTTCAGCTAAAATTTCTAATCATTTACGCATTTTTTCAGTTTTCCCATAGAATCTGTATTAGTATGAGCAGTGATATGAATTCATTAGTAGCATTCTATCACCAAGATTTCGTCTACCTTTCTATTTTTACTTTTCCTTCTCGAATAAATTTTATCAATGCTACTTTTTGCCTTATCCCTTAATTCTAACGAGGTAAGGTGGTTATTTTTGGAAGCTATAAAATTTCCTTTATTGGGGAAAACGTAGCTACAGATGTGTATTAAGTTCTTTTAAATACAGTGTTATTTCTGCAGATAGCTTTATTTCAGCAAAAATAAAAATAGTAAAAGTAAAAATGAAGAATGCTGGTATCTTTTTTTTCTTTTGCCTCCGTTTCTACTTTTTTTTTTTTTTTTTTTCATATCGCTGTTGAACTATCATAGCAAATGAAATTCCTCAGGTTTTATGAGCCTCGTTTTGTCCATTTTTATAAAAGCAAATCGTTTATTTTGAAGTTTGGCTTCATTTCCGTTGCAACAAGAATAAGAAACAGTACACTTTTAAAAGCTAAAACTTCCGAAAACTTACGGAAAATTGTCTTAAAAGGTAAGAAATAAATAAAATAGTAATAAGTAAAGAAATAAGAAATAGAAATTTAATAAAAAATTTTAAAAAAGAAAATCTAAAATCTTTCAGATTTTATATAGCAGCGTTTTTTACTACGTATTTGGTGGCAACAGTTTGAAAAGTGAGCCAAAGTAGAAAGTGAAACGATGCAAAATACCGTAATGCAGTTTTTGAATGCAAAATGCCGTTCTGGTAGCCCTTTGAGTCTAACACCCCTTTGGGCTAAACACAAAAAAGAAATGGTAAAAGTTTAATATAACAAAACAAATGGGAGAGGGGTAAATTAAAAAAAAATCAAACAAAAAAACAAAGTTAAACAAAAAAGATAAAAATATCATAAAATTTAAATTAACATAAAGAAATGGATTCTGGAAAAAATCTGGAGTTGAAAAAAAAAAGAAAAAAAAAGTGAAAGATAATTAGCTGAGTTTAATAAAATGTTCTTCCATTTACTTCAATGAAATACTATTTTTGAAAACTTAACGTCTTTCTACTTCCTAATTTGGAAAAAATAAAAAACAGCCCATGAAAAAGTGTAGTAAAGAAATAGAAAATCAAGTCTTAATTTAGCTTAATAGGAAAGTAAATGTGCTGATTATATACATAATGAAGTTTTCTTTGCTTATATTCTCAACTAAAATATTTAATAGAAAAGCTTTTCATGAATTTTGATTTTACTAAACTTGTTCAATATATTCTTTGAAAAAAATGTTGAACCTTCCTATTCAGCGGAAACGCAAAGAAGATTTGAAATTTTTACTCTAAAGAATTCACTTACTATTTAAATTCGAGTCATTTTCATAACATTGAATCTCAAAAACAGATAAAAAAATAAAATTTGACTTTAGGATGACACACACACATAATACATAAAATTGACACAATACATAAAATTGATGAGTAGCATAACGTGTCTATTAATTTATTTGTGCAAATGAAAGTTTCTTATACTGTGTAGGAGAAAAACTAAACATTTAAATGAAAATATCTGAAAGTGAAAGTGTTGATGATGCCAAATAAAAACTATTGTTTTCTTGTTATAGTTTCTTACTCTTTAATGACACCTATATTATATGCGCATGCATTATACGCCAACACGTTTTTGATTGTTGAAATTACATGTAACAGGTACATTAGACTTTTAAAGATGTCAGTTTGATATTATATGGAAAATTTCCTACAAAATTTACATTTACATCATCTATTAAAAATATGCAAATTATCTCAAATTTAATTTAAACATATTTCAGGAATTTGACGCACGATTCGATCAATTCAGCTTAAAAAGTATCCGTATTTAATATGCACAATCACAGTAGAATAATTGCCAAATATTTAGTTGCAATTTGAAGTAGCATAATTTGAACAGATAAATAGAGCTCATACTTTCAGTCTTAATGCAAATCTGTCTTCTCCTATGTACAGATTAAAATACTAAAATAAACTTTTATAATAAAAGGAGAGGCTTGTACCTTTGTCCCTCCATTCATCCCCTGATAAAGTGAGAGTTTCATTGTTGTTAATATTCATCCGTGAGATTTAGCTGAATTCTGAGTTTACTCTACAAGTAATTTTGACAAATGGCGATAGTTTTCTGACACTAAGGAGACACTGTGTATATCTGCTTCAGGGATACGCAGTTAAAGTTTGTTGTCGCGACTTTAAAATAAAACGCATATTTAACAAAACTATGTGCATTGCTACTTGCGAGGTTTCATATCATCACTTTAATATTATAAGCACAGGAAGAAAATTATTCTTATAAAATCCAGGCTCCCCTGAAGTCCTCACTGTTTAACATTAGATAGTAAAACTACGTGTCTTGAATTCCAAATAATTAAAGTGCGCAGGTTGACGAGCTTGTTGAGACATTGGGTTAGAAAATCATAAATGTATCCAATCCATGCTTTCTAAATATTAAGTGCGCTTGTTCTTAAAACCTGGTCTAATTTATATTCATAGCAGCTTGGGGAAAAACCAAAGAAAGGAAGGAAAGAATTAAAGTACGTCTCCCACCTTCTTAGCATGGTGGTGTAATGAATGTGCAGATCAGCACACTCTGCGCGTATTCGAGAGGTCCGTAGTTCGAGTCCCGGCCTCATTTTTCACGTATCTCAGCGTCAAAAATCGTAATGTCTCTCCACAGTAAATTTCCGACTAGCCAGAATAATTCCGGGACAGATGCCGATGAATAACCCAAGAACATGTTTAATCCGACAGCAACTCATGAAAAACAGGAATGAATGAATAACTCACAATGTAATTAAATACAAAACGCGCTTAACAACGCTTATGCATGTTTATTCTACTTGATTCGGAAAATAAGTTCATTTGATAATGTAAATTAAACAAGCATTCTAAACTCATTTAAACATAATATTTTTTTAAATGTTACTGTTTTTCTTTGATAGAAGCCAATGAATGGAAAACTAAAGATTAATGTTTATATACTTAATTTTTATTTATGATGTAGCATTTTTTTTTCACAGATGATTTAACAATATTTACACATTATAGATTATATAAAATTTAATTACGCACTATCTTCGATAATAATAATTCATAGGTACCTTGACATCTTTTGCTATTATTGCTGATATTCCACGCATTTTTCTCCGCCATTTTGCATTTCTCGATGAGAAAGATTTTATGGAATGCAAAAAGGTTTATATCTGTCTTTTATATTGTTATTTTAAATTTCATTTCAGGGCGTAACAAGCATAAATCAACCTATGATAAAGCTAGTGATTTCAATCTTTTAGTAAGTATACAGTTTATTTTTTATAAAAATTCATGATATCTATTTTATGACCAGAAAATATCATCTTCAAAATATATAGTTAAAAAAGAAATACTTTTAAAATATAATGTCATAAAGTCGGACAGGAAATAGTTACTTAGTTTTCACAAAGTAGTGTGCCTAAAAATAACATATCTTTAATGTACATTTCCAGCTACATTTATTTAACATTATGGGAAAAGAATCGACATTCATGCATATAAATAGATATTTTATAGCATTAGCATCTATTTGAATGTTACAAACACTATTTAAAATTTAAAAGCTTTCAAATGTAACTGAACGTGTATAATTTGGAGAATACTTTTGCTTTGATGAGCAATAATTATGTTCTGTGTTACAAGCATTGAAGATTAATTTAAAATTTGTTTAAGTGCAAAATAATTGTCTAGATTTTTAATGGAATTATTGGTGCCATTTGCAATTAATCTGAATTTTAGTGGTTTTTTATGGAATTTGGGAAGACCATACAGGTTACCTTGGATTTACAGAGATTATGAGTTTTTATGAAATACTTTAATTCTGTTAATTATAGAGGTTTCTGTAGTTTTTGCTAGTTGATATGTATTGGCGTTAAAAAGTTCTTTACTAATAATTGTTCTACAGAAAAGTTTTCATATAATGCTAAAGTTACTATTTGCTTTATCAGTTTTGGTAATAGTAAAGAGTTGCTTTAAATTCTTAATAGTTGACAGAAGTTGAGACAGACCAATTTAATTGACTTTGAAATTTTACTTTTTTTAGTTCAGTTTTAATTTGTTTAAGGATTTCATGTTACCATTTTAAAAAGGTATCAATAGACAAATTAAGCTGATAGCTGCCTTTAACGATAAATTCGTTGATGCTATTTTCTAAATTTTTGTAACAGTAATTTTCCTTGACGTATCTGACTGGTCTATATTTTACTCCATAACTTACGAGTTTTTAAGTTGCGCGTTTTGACTGATACCCAAGTTTCCAGTAATTATGTACTGATCATGATCATCTACATATAGACTGAATGTAAGCAATTTGCAATGTCATTCAGCCGACTCTTCTATTTCATGTTTTTACTTCCTTGTACGAAGTAAAAAGGAAGTATTGTAATCGCGAAAAGTTTCAGGCAGCATATTGCAACGAAAATATCCATTTTTACCGCTATCGAATGCAATTTAACTATGTTTTCGCGTGATATCTGTACGTAAGGACAGAATAAAAGACGCGTTTCCTCCAAAAAAATTATAAAACTGCTTTAAATTAATTCTGAAGAGAATTTTTCGTGGCGTCTGTACGAACGTATGTACGTACGTACGTATCCCGCATAACTCAAAAACGAGTAGGAGTAATTCACATAAGAAATAGTGAATTAATAAAATAAATAGTAGTTAGTAACGTAAGTAACTTAAAATAGTAAAATAATAAGTAAAATATCGTTAGTAACTTAAAATAGAAATTAGTAACGTAAGAAAAGGAAGTGTATATAAATTAGCAGAAGAGGCATTAATTAACTCTTCCATGTTTCTAGCTTTTAATTTGACACAGGTCCATTGCTTTCGTCATACTCAGAATGGTATTTGGAATTCGAAACAGGATGCAGAATGGAGGAATAGAGAGAATGTGTGAGGGGGTAGGCGGGGACTTATTAGCATCTATTTTTAGAATGCAGGAAAGAAGTGGTCATGGAATTTTCTTTCAACTGTAAGATGCATCTGTTGAAACTTTGACTTTAAAGTGAAGAAACAAAAGAAATTAATTCAGTTATGGCTAATTGTTGCAGCGGAAAGAGGAAAAAAGTACTAGTAATTTTCATTGCTCATGAGCTGTTAAACAAGCTTAGAACAGTTTGAAATAGGCCCATATTTTTAGTAATAGCAGTAAAGAAAATGCCAGAAAAAATTATTTTAAAATTATATACAATATCTTCAGTAATTACACTATTTACAAATCTTTAACTGGTAGTCATCCAACATATACCGCCTTTTATGGTTTAGAAATAAATTTTCATAACCCTATCTGCCAAATGATTTAAGTTGAGCACTTAACGCCTGCTCTTTTAAGACAATGATTAATAAAGTTATTTGGTACGTGATTATTTTTGAGAATTTTAATTAGTAGTAGAATTTCATGTTGTAGATTTATTGTACCGGTACAAATACTTTTAATGCGTTGTATTTAATTATGCATACTACTAATAATTAATAACTTTCTAACAACTTACTAATAACTTTCTTGGAAATGTTGGAAATCCAGTTTATTACTTTACCAGCTAGCATTAAAAGTAAAGTTGCGTGTTTTGTAATGCAGTAGAATCTTATTGTAGTTATTTATTTGAAGATCTAAATAGTCGACTATATTTTGTGAAGGGTTAGTTTTATTAAGTGTAAGGTACTCTGGATAAATTTGTGAATTTTCAACTTTTTAAAATTATTAAAGGTATTAAGATCATCTATATATCTGTAAGTATGGACAGTAGCAAATTTTTTTTGGAAGTTAAATTCTTTATTGAATAAAAAGAGATTACAAACGCATGTACTCGTGTGCACTTCCATTGGGATACCTCTGACTTGTTTAAAATGTTTATTTTGAAATTTAATGTAGTAATTAAAAATAGTGCATTTAAGGAAGGTTTTTCTACCTATTAAAGTCTAAAACTGTGAGCATAGTAGGAAAGAGTTTAGGCAGATCAAGGAGGCTAGTATATATTTCTTCTAATGTAAGAGAGGTACGTAAGTTTTCAAAGTCAGTGTGGAAACTTACTTTCTACAATTCAAGGTGTAGAAAGTAACTTTACAGTAAATAAAGAGCCTACCAAATTTCGAAAATTTAGAATTAATCACGTAAAATGTTTTCAACTGCCATTGAAATCAAAACTCACCAATTTAACGCACGGTAATGTTAACAAAGTGTTTCTAAGCAATATTTTATGCTTTAATCCTTCGTGTTATCACTTCTTTAAAGCTCATAAAATTGAGAACAAGGGCATTTGATTATCTGGAACTGGATTAACATTATATAACCTATGAAATTAAAGTTCAACCGCGATTCCCCTACTTCTGCCTTCCCATATTTTTACAACCTTTACCTGTTTTTTTCTATATTTACTTGTTAATCCCTTAATTTTGAAAAAAAAAGAAAAAGTAACTGAAAACTTTATTCTGAATAAATGCATGGTTTCATTTAAAGTTTCGCACTCAATGTATATCATTTGAAGCTAAGTAGAATATATCAGAAATTTTAACAGCTTCTCAAAATAAGAATTTTAATTGCTTTCATGTGACAAAATTTCCAGATTTCCTCTTTAGGTGGAATGAGGTTATTTAACTAATAAGAAGAACAGGGTTATGAACTTTCTTGCAAATTAGTTTTTGTAAAACTGGTTTAAGTGCTTCTTCTCAATTCAAAGAATTTAATTCTGAATTCAGAGAATTTAATTAATAAATAATTTTCTACTTAGCATATAGAAAAATCACAAGGATTGTAAATAACTGTTTCAATAAAATTTAGATACATGATATATAATTATAAGACAAATGTATACAAGATAAAAGTTAGAAGACTAGTGGAAGTTTCAATGGCATTTTAAGCAAATTATGCCTAAAGGCACTTTTCTAAGCTTGCTAACGTTGATATCTGTCCTCAAAGTCAGTGTAATTTTATTTAATAATGTTTCATAGTTTCATGCGTACGATGTACGGCGGCCATGATAAGTCGTGACGTCACGTTGCTGACATCTCCTGGGTTTCACGTTTGTGCTGTCATGCTTTCTCCATCTGTTCTAACCTCGTTGGTTAAAAATGGTTTATTCTGTACAGTGCTGCCATTGCTCGCTTTAAAAACTTCGAGTAAGTTAATCAAAAATTTTTAAAAATTTTACTAAATTTGAGATAGAACAATTCTTATAGAGGATTACGTTATTCAAAATTTGATGGCTCTAGGTACTGTTGTTTTTTCCCAATGCGAAAAACATACATATATTCATGCAGATTTTTTGTATAATACAAAGATATAATATTTGATGGCAACAATTTGAAAAGTGAAATGGACAGTTATAGTGAACCGACGCAAAATGCTGTTTTGAGACTAATGAATCTTCTGGGGTAACGCTCCTTTGAGATAAAAAATAAAAATAAAATAAATTCATCGTTGTTTTTACTGCTGGTTTCATAGCAAATGAGGTACTAAATTAATTTTATTTATCAGCCTTTCCAGTCAGCATTCAAATATGTTTCTTCCTTTACATTAATTAGTTTTCCGTTTTCTTTTTTAAATTAATGCTTCTGTAGAGTTCTTTTTTCCTTGTTAAAGGATTTTTATTTATCCATCGATATAGAAAATAATTTACTTCGTTTTCACTGAAGTATGTATTTCACATTGCATTTCACTGAATATAGCGAAAGAAACACAACATAAAGGACTTTTATTACGGAACTGAAAATTATAAACAATTGGGAAACGTAAAATGATTACACAAACCTAATAAAAATTCATACTATTAAGTTTTCCTGTTAGCTGTTTTTCTCTTTAATATTGCATTTTATTACCAAGGAGAAATTTATTTCTCCATTATTCTTAAAAATTCTTCATTTGGTGGGGTATGGTACCTCACATAATTTAATAAATGTTTTTCAACTTTAATTTAATGTTACATTTAAAAACTCATATTTTAATGCGTAGACGCTTAGCTTTTAATTTCTTCATTTAACTCTCATTTCAAAGGGTAAACTTTACTGGGGAAATAACGAAATCCAGAATTTAAAGAAATTCAGTCATGCAGCGAAATTATGCTTCTGTTAGTCTTCTAAGAAAATCACTTTCAATTTCACTTCTTTATATACAGTTTAGTTTACATTTTTCCCAAAATGCGTATAATAATGTTGTAATTGCGTAGAATAATTTTTTTGTATTTGAAAAAGGCTTGCTTTTTGTATTGCAATAATCCTGACGAGGATTTAATGCAATAGCAGGCATCTTATTCTCATATT